TCACTTCCTTTTCACGCCATTGGTGAAGGAGGGGTCCCTGCCCTAAAGTGTAGGAGATGGCTGAACACAACACCTGGTGTGGATGGATGAGATTGACAGCAGTGTTTTAGTCACATACACCCACAGCTCAGAGGAGGACACTGAATGCCACACAGGGTCAGATGGGCACCGTACTCTGTAGCGGAGTGAGGGCTGGGGTGTGAGGAGGCACGCAGGCTTGGTAGTAACAAGAGCGCACAATGACTAATGGTTCCTGAGGGGGAATGCAATTGGCTTGTTGGAATAAATTCATGGGCTGGCAGACAGGTGAAGTGAAACTTCTTAGGCTGAGGTGCAGCTGCTCTGGCTGATAAAAGAACTAGCCAGGTAGGGAGCCTTTCCTGCTGGGTGGCAGGGTAGGAGCTGTCTGTCAGAAACAGGAAAACCCATGGCTAGGCCTTTGAGGCCCTGTAAGGCTCAAAGATGTCAAAGCAGCATAGGAAATTTTATATCTTAAAATTCAGCGAAGACCCTCTCTCCAGCTCTGGTAAATTATTTTGCTTGAAGTCTACTTCATGAGATATTAATATATTCATTCCTGCTTCCTTAAAAAATTAATGATTATATAAGATATCTTTCTCCAGTCTTTTACTTTCAGCCTACTTAGGTCCTGAAGTGAGTTTGAAGTTTCTTATGAACAGTATCTAGTTGGGCCATGTGTTTATTATAGGCTCTTCATCAATCTGTCTTTTGGTTTATTTAGACCATTTACATTTAAGGTGCTTATTGTTACATAATTGCTTATATCTGATGTTTTTATTATTTGCTTTTTTGTTTCCTTTTTCTTTAGCTCCATCTTGATCTATTTCTGTATAATGTTGTTGCGTGTACCTCTTTGTATAGTCTTAAAGTGTTTGCTCTGGATGTTACAATATGCGTTGTAATATAGTAGTCCACTGGTACCAGTATTTACCACTTCAAAGTGTGGAAACCTGCCTTGCATTTATGTCTCTTTACCTTTTCCACTCTTATAAATCACTGGCTTGAGTATTAGGTGGTGGTATAGTTTTTGTTTGAGTCGTCAAATGTGATTTTAAGAACTATGGATTGTCTAGTGTGTGGTTTCCACATTTCTGGTCTTTCCTTTGTCCCTCCTCCCATAGTCCCATATTCATCCCTTCTGCATAAGAACTTTCTGTAGTCTTTTTTTTATTTTGATTTTTTTGTTTTAATTTTTTGTGTAGTGGAAATGAGAGAATATATTTCTGTAGCCACTTTTTAGCATTTCTAAATTTACCAGTGACAAATTCCTATATTCTCTTCCTCTGAGAATGTCTTTATTTCTCTCTTCATTTCTGAAGGGTAGTTTCATGGGATACATAATTTGTAGCCAACAGGTTTTTTTGTTTGTTTTTTTTGTTTTTAAGCACTTAAAAATGTTGTGCCACTTCCTTCTGGCCTCCATGATTTTAGAGGAGAAATACACTGGCATTTGAGTTGGCATGTCCCTGCTGGCATTCTCCCTTTTTTGATCTTTGTTTTTAGTTTTGAAAGTTTAATCAGTGTTGCTTTCTTTTGGTATACTTCCAGGTTTGCTCAGCTTCTTGAATCTGTAAGTTTATATCTTTCCCCAAATGTGGGAAGCATCAGGAATTGGTTTTTTGCATTTTCGCAGCTCTGGTCTCCTATGGGACTCAGATAACATAAATGCGGGGTCTTTTGTTATTGTCCCACAGGTCCGTGCAGCTCTGTTCATTTGTTTTCAGGTTATTTTCTCTCTGTTTTTCAGACTGGGTGAATTCTGTTGATCAGTTTCAGCTTCTCTGATTCTGTCCTCTGTCATCTCCACTTTTACTCAATAGAGCCCATCCAGATAGATTTTTTTTTTAAATTCTGTTACTGTATTTTATATTTCTGTAATTTCCATTTGATTCTTCTTCAGTTTCTTTGCTGACATTTTCAGTTCTTTGTTTGTTGCCATAGGATTTGTAGTTACTTGTTGAAGCATTTTTATACTGACCGCTATAAGTGATGATGGTTCCAACATCTGCCTATGTAATTTTTTTATTTTTGCAGGCAGTCCTGTTTCGGTTTAGTCTATAGGTCCTGGTCTACTTTGTGGGCTGTAATTCCATTGACAATTTAATTTCAGAGCCTTCATGGTGTTATTTTGGTCTGTTTGGCATATCTGGTATCACTGGGGCTCTCCCACCAGTCCCTGCTGATGCCCACCTGAGGGAACAGGGGAGCTGCCCCAGGCTGGGCCACCTGCTGCAGCTAGGTGGGTGGGGAATGGTGGTTGTCTTGGTGTGTGGAGCTGGTTTTCTTGTTGTGGGGAAGATCTCCTTTGATCTGGGAGGACTGAGTCTGCCTGGGTTGCCTTCTATTGCTACCTTGGGAGTTGGGAGACTCTGGGCCTGAGTCACTTTCCTGTTGGATGAGGTCCAAGGAGACACCTGGCCACTATACATTCCCTAGTCCTAGAGTCTGTCAGCAGCCTTTTTCTTTCCACCTTTCAGAATTCTCCATTGATCATCTCCTGTCTAGGTAACCTAGAATTTAGGTTACACTTTTTAGGAGGGAATAATGTGTTATCTTCTCTAGATCAGAAATCCTTAGTGGTGGTTTTGGGTTGTAACTGTGCTAAAAGGAGAATTGGCGTATTTGTGAAGTCGAGTCTTTCTTTTGAAATGAGAACATATCATTATTCCGTAGATAATATTTACAACACCTACTTCCTTGGGTTGAAGAATGTGGTTAAGCTTAGGAAAGTACTTAATGCAGTGCCTGGTGTGCAGAGCACATACGAGTGTTGGTAGTGATGCTATTCCTTTCATCCTTTGGTAGCATATTAAAGCTTTTCTTCTTTTTTTTTTTTTTAATAAAGTTCCGGTGCATTTCTTGTTAGGTTTATTCCTATTTTATCCTTTTTTGCTTTTATTACAAATAGGCGCTTCCTATCTATTATAACTTCTATCTGGTTCTTTGGCCCTTAAGTGAAAATGTTTTAATAGCCTTCTAAACATTGCTCTCCCAAATGAGTTTTAACTTGCCTGTTTCTTTTGTTTTCCTTTTTTTGAGACAGGGTCTCACTCTGTCACCCAGGCCAGAGTTCAGTGACG